TTTTTAATCCCAACATCGGGATTAAAAAATAAAAATCTAATTTTGAGTCCCAAATTTTTTAATTAAAAAATTCGCAACCATGAATATAAGTCGTATAGTAGAAAGCTGAAAAACTTTCGCCAATTCTCCATGTGATCCCACTTTTTTTGAGCTTCTTAAGGCAAAAATATATATTGAATTCGAACATAGGAGATTTATAAAAACTTTGGACTGAGATATTTTTATCATTAGTTCAGAAAGGCTAAAGCGGAAGTAACAGAAATTCAAATATACTTAGCAAAGTGGCAACATTGCGGGACCTGCTGATTTATCATAACGCAAGACATTAAAGCAAACGGGAAAAGAAAATTTGATGCCACGTTCGCTGATCAATCGATTGAACTTATAGTAAGTTAAAATGAAAAAGAAGACAAAAATTGCATTTTCAGAAATATTTTTAAATCACATTTCATCCCTCAACTTCTTCATTGCGAACCAATTGTGTATTAAGGGCACTGGTAAAATGTCTATGAGGTCTTCGGAATTAATTATAGTCAAAACGATTTACTCTATAATTTAGTGCTTTTGACACTCACTCAGCGTGCCACCAAATGGGCTTCTTCAATTAATGCAACAATATATCCTCAACAGCTGTCAAGTCAAATGCGCCACCAATGCCACACATAAATTTGCCATCTTGACACGGTTTTGAATGAAAACGCAAACACCAGCACAATCGCACGAATGCGTTGTTATTGCTGACACGTAACATATGCAGTGGCACACACAGCTGGCTACAACAACCACAACAATGTGCGAGCAACGCTGTAGGCGCAACCAAAGCGGCCACAAACGGGATATGGCGGGAATAAAATCTTGCGATGGTGTGCGTGCGCCAGCCACCTTACGCTACACACCCACCATCGCGGCTGTTGCAGCAACTACTAAACTCCTCGGTACGGCCACTTCACTTACATGCCGCTTCAAGTTGAATTATACCGCCTGACGCTGACATATTTGCCACTTAACGGCGTCGGCGTCCCGGCAAAGAGCAGCTTCCACCACCGCGTTGGATGTGCAGCAAATCCACCAAAGGAGCTACAGCCAGCCGACAACAAGCGCGCGGAGCCGCAATGGGCGCAAAATGCGCAATTAGGGTTTTGTGGTTGCAAGTGTAATGTTGCAAATGAATCAGAGAAAAAGGCGAGAACTAACACACGCAAAAGAGCAACCGAAGTGTGCGCTAGTTCGTTCTTGCGTACATCTTAAGCCTTCACTTGCACACGCATGCACACAACAACAACAACATGAGGGCGAACAGACAGTGGGGCGCACTTACCACATTTGCTCAATTTGTGGCAATTTACACTTGCCATTTGTGGCAGCTGCTAATGTGCAACACCCCTTACACCGAACAATTATTATTATATACGTTGCTTTTTTTGCGATTTCGCTCACTTTTCGCCAAACCCTCGGGGGATGCCTTGTAGTGGCGTGCGCATTTCGTAATGGAAAAATCACTTGAGCTCATTTATAATTCAATTTCATATACTCGTGTGGCACTTTGTTTGTTTGCCATAATGGCGGTGGCGGCCCTTGTTGTTGCTGGTGCTTAGGTTGCACTAGTTGGTGTGGAATTTGTTGCATGTCATGTTCAGCGCTGTTGACTTAATAAATTGCGAGCGCATTAAGCGTGTGTTGGTGGCAAGCGAAGTGCGAATAGTTTAGTTATTGCTTCTTCAACGCCGAGTGCATGCCGTGCACTTGTGTGTGTTGTTGGTGCATAATTTGATTAATGCAAGATTGAGTGTGAAGTGGCGAGTTTCGTAATTGCTGAATAAGCATTTTAATTATAATAATGCTAACGGGTTTTAATACAGTGTGTGAGTGTCAATCTCAGAGTGTATTTCTAGTCTAAATAATTTTAGATCGGATAACTTTCAACTTTTCATGAAATCAATACATGTCTTCCTCTAGCTCCATATATTGCGGAAGACTTAAGTCTTTTCGATTAATTCAATATCACATTTATTGAGTAGTACATCATCACAGGAATAAGTATTATTCAATTGAGTACAAATTTTATATTTATTTTGGATAACATTGATTTCCTCCAAAACCCAATACTGATTTCCATCTTTACCTCTGAGTGCATATATCCGACAGTTAGACAACTTACCGTAGTTAATATGAATCGAAAGAATATATGTAGATTAGTTACATAAATTAATTGAATTAAATTACTTTTTTTTAATATTAATCAAGAGTCAATGATTCCAACAATGTCAATGATTTTTTTATTACAGTACAATGGAAGGATGAACATGGAAAGGTTGAAAAGAGTTTTATTATCTTTCGTTGATAATTATTTGATCTCATTTACAAAGCACTTGTCGTAAGAGAATATTCTTCAGATTTATAGTGCGAAGAGTCAACCCATTTGTATTCGATTCGTCGAAAATACTTTTGGATCATCCATTTTTATAATTTTCAAGAATTCCATTAAACACTAGTTACATTTAATAGCACTCGAAGAACACTTAATTGTCTCTGGCGTCTATGCGATTTAATTTTTTTAGTTTAATAAGTAAAAAGTAGAAATTTTTTCGGAAATATTTTATTATATTTCCTGCAGATTTAGAAATCAAGCTTATTGAAAAAATCAATCTTGAATATAGTATATGAGTTTATAAAATCGAAGACGTTACAAACATTTAAAAATGTATAAAAGTAAATTATTGTTCGAAAGCAATACAAAATTTAAATTTCATAAATACTGGCCTCAGTTTGATACCAGGTAACATCTATCATAAAAGATTGACCGAAAAATGTTATATACCATTGAAATACAAGGAAAATTTAGATGATGTCCGTATTTTTATTCTTTAAAAACTGAAATAACATAATTAGTCTTGATCTGCTCAAAAAGCTTATTTTCGAAATCCGAACGCAAATATTTCAATTTTGAAGGCCAACTTCAAGAATTAATTTTTTCCTTATAACTCAGTCTTTCAAGCAAAATTTGTTTGGTCCAGTATCCAGGAAAAAAGCCAATTTTACCGATTTCTTATTTTTAATATTAAGACAATTTTAAAGAGAAATACTTTTAAACAAAACCAAAATGTAAACAAAATCCCACAAAACCTTAAACAATTTAAAGACTCTCAGTTGACCACCTGCTTTAAGCTTAATTAAATATCACAATAAACTTATGTATGTACACATATTTAGATCTCATAAATGCCGCATATTTACGACACAAACATTGTGTGCCTGTGTGTGTGTAGCGCACACATAAATACTGCTCAAGTATACGAATATAATGCGCATGCAAGCCAAAGTTTACTCAAGCTTCAACGAATGCAAACCAGCACTTCCCTTTCCGTTTGCAATTATTTAAGAGCAAGTAGGCACACACACACACACACATCTCGCAATATGCTGAAGGAAAGTTTATTTTTCATATTAATAATTCACTTTTGATGCACATAAATATATCAGCAACTTAACCGCATAGCATCGCTTCGTATGCCGATGACAGCAGCAAGCTTCGCATTGCATTGGGTTTGACTTGAGGTTAAAACTGCAGGCCTGCTTCTCACCCCACCAGCGCATATTCGTATGTAAGTGTGGGTGTGCGTTGTGACAGCCACAGCTTTAGTCTGCTCACGCTGTGAGCCGGCAAGCCGCGCAAGTTTTAATATGTTGCTGCCACTGCTGCCTGACGACCTGTCAACCGATTCCACGTTAAGTCGGCGCTACAACGGCAACAACAACACATTTTTACTGTTGCTGACAATGAAAGTGAAGTTGACATTGAGGTTGCAACATGCTGAAGTCATTGTGTTTGCAGTTGTTGGCTGGATTTAAGCTTGTTGTCGCTGTTAAAAATTATGTTGATATTTACATTAATGATGACAATCATTCTTCTGCTGATTTTCACATTTTGCATGCTGTCACTTGCTGCTTTCATTACCCGACTTTTATGCCACTGATTTTATTTGAGACATTTATGACGAAATTTTTAGTGCCACACCGTCAAGCATACAGATTCAGCAGCTGATAGTTGTTGGGATTTTATTCTAGTAATTTTGCGCTGCCTTAGCCAACAGGACTCATTATTTTTACTTCGTCATATAAATGCAATACAGGCTTCGATTGAGGTATAGTCATCGAAATGATTAGCGATAATAACATCAAAGACCTATTTATAGAAACCGGGTCTCGACAGGCGATGTCTTGCTTCTCGACTTTTATTAACAGATTAAATAAAGTCAGGCAATTCGCCTTATATTTACTACTAATGGACACGAAGGTTTGCTTTTGCATTTCTCTATCATTCATCTGGAATATTCCTCAAATTTAACTTTCCCTAAATTAGCTATTTTTGTTTACCAAAAACAATTCGGCGCAAAATATTGTTATCATTCTAAAGGATGAGTTTTTTTGAATATATTGAACAATATTATTGAAGGTTTCTTGAATATTTGCAAAATTTAATTGTATATATTCGAGCGTAAAACATTGTTTTAGGTCAAAATTTCATACAGATCTCGCAATGTATATACTGTACAGATTTCAATAAGTATTTCCCAAAATGTTCGTTCTTAGAAATTTCCCAATTGCCGGTTTCAAAATAATAGATATTGCATACTTTACAGCGCGTAATACGTATTAGCGATTATTAATCATTGCTTTAAGAAGCTACAGATACAGATACATAATCGGTTCTCATTTGTATAAATTATAAATAGGAAAAAACACCACGTACATACCACAGCACCGCCCATTAGGATTATAAATATTATTATAAATATCTAAGCTCCAACTATGTTCTATTCTTACTCACACTGAGACCTGTTATTTAAGAAATGGCCGCTGAAAAGTATAAAAAGATCTACTTAAAAATTTTAGAACCAAAATTTACAAAAAAGTGCATATAACCCTTTGCAGCATGCCACATAGAATACAACTTTTCATGGCACTCACAAGCTACTTCCGACCCACATAGTGTATCCAGTTCATGGTTCGTTTAACACTTGACGATCTTCTGGCCAGTAGTTCCAGTGCAAACTGAGTACAGGCTATTGCCAAAAGCATTGCGTACAACATATATAGGCCCCGCAACATGTTGCTGCTAATGACCGGCCGGTGTTGTGAATTCGCGTTCATTACCTGGAATTGCTTCTTCACATGCTTCTCTCCAATGTATGACGTAATGCCACCCCAACTCAGTTGCTTGATGCGGTAATCGAAAATCGAACGTAAAATAGAGTGTTTCTTGAAATACATAGATATCTGTACGTTATAAATTGGTTCCTCGATATATGTCAAGCAGCTGGTTTTCCAATTTTGTCGATTATGCCAGGACAATGTGTCCAGCATGGAAGTAGTGATGAAGCGTTCTCTTTCACTCTGCTGCACCATGCGATACCGTTGCGTAATATTAGATATAATTCGCGTCATATTACTCGGATAGAACTCTACATACTTATCGGTGACGAGTATATAATTTTGTGCTTCCAACCCGGAAATGGTGCGCGGTATCGGTATACGTTTGGAAATGCGCAAACTATCAAACAATTTGGCTTGATATGCATTGCGCAGCACCAGCGTTGCCAATAGCCAGGACATAAGCAATAATCGGGCACAATTCCGACGCGGTAAAATTTTAATAGGATTCCCCATCATTACAACAATCAAATTGGTTGAGTCACTGTGTTTGCGTTGCCCGATCAATTTCTCGCATACTGCCGAACTGGTGCAACTTATTATGAAACGAATGAAAATCATGCCGATAATACAGCAAGCACCAATCGCCTGCCAAACATTCGCGCAGAAGGCCTGTGCCAGTTGCTTGATGGGTCCAAAATGCAAGCCACTGCGCACGATAAAGACATACAGACTTTGATAGTACGAGAGGGAGTAGCTGAAAACGTGACGTAAGCCATCCGTACTACTCAAGCAGCCGATTGCGAGGTCCGCCTTTCCGGCAGCCAACTAAAAGAGATCGAATACAATGAGGTTCGCCAAAATGCATTGACTTGCCTACCTCCGCAAAGCAGCCAGTCGAGTTGTTTTTTTCGCCAATTACCCCTCGTTCACGCGATATGGAAAATTTAACGCGAAAATTAATTGCTTTAGCCAGATCCCTTAGTAAATCGCCTTCAATTCCGGCCACTAGGTGAATGTTCTGCAAATCCTGCGGGTCGCTAAGATTGCCATGAAATCCGAGTAAGGGATAGCCCAATTCCAAGCAAATTAACAGCGGACAGCCGTGGAAATCATGCAAGTGTCGCGAAAAGAGGCGGTCGTGCTCCAAACTGCCATTAAAAAATGTGTTGAAATGAACAATCTGAATGTTTTCATCTTGATGGCAGTAAACTTCGGCGAACACTTGGTAAGTGTAAAACCCAAATTTCATTTTATCCAATTCAAGCATCACAACAACATTGTCCACATTGAAACGCAAACATTCGTTAAATATTGCCCTCATATGGTGTGCCGCGATCTCGCTGGATTTCGTTCTTAACGTTAAAATTATGAAGAAGTGGAACTGATGCTCATAACTGGTTTGTGGAATGTTAATACTTAGATTTCTACAACAAACATTTTTTTATATAAATCCTTAATCATAATAACTGTACAGGTGAATCTTACTTGAAGGCGTGCATGGAGTCTACAATGAAAATGTTGTAGTCCCACAATCTATCCTCGGGCAGTCCGAAGAACAGCTGCAGCGACATGGTGGGGTTGAAGCGCTTCAGAAAGTAGCGCAACATACGCGTATGCATATTTTGCAATCCCGGTAAACAGTGCTCGCAATTCTCCATGATGATGAGGGTGCTGGTCTTCGCGCTGATGTAGCGCTCCACCATGTACAGCGCCAGGTCGGCATAAGGCTCATGATCACGATTGGTTTCGTCAACTAAAAATCGAATCCTCTCCTTGCCCTTCGGCTTGGCAATGCTTTCAGTCGCCATTGTCAACGCAAAAATGATGAACAAAATTTGTTTTAACATTTCGCAAATAATCGTCGCTCGGCTTTAATTGCAGCTGTTTGTATTTTAGTGAAAATGTCTGCCATCTAGAACTGCACTGCGAACTAGCTTCCAGCTGCACTCGAATTTATAACAACTTTCAATTAGCAGTGTGCAAATTAATTACTTAATATCATTGCCGATAAGACGCCATATTAATTCTCAGCGATTAATATTTACATATCCCTGAGCTATCGATTTGACCTTTCGCGCTTCGATAATCAACACATGGTCTGTAAGTTAGTCATGGATATGGAGTAGGTGCGGAAGAAATGTACAAAAGCAAGTAAAGAAGGGCTAAGTTCGGGTGTAACCGAATATTTCATACTCTTTCAATTTGCAAGAATCAAAGCCTGGGAAACAGCTTCAGGTGTTTGGTGACCGTACCATCATGATTGTGGCGCGTTTATGCAGTGAGTTATTGCACTTTTAGTGATTTTCAATATATCCGTTATATGGGGAGTGGGTGTGGTTCATATCTGATTTTATCCATTTTCACAGAGTTTGAAGAATGACTGCTTCTCAGCAAATTTGGTTGATTTAGGTTTGGCGCTTTGAAATTTATGTACATTAAACCATTTAGGGGCGAGGCCACGACCAATTTTAATAAAGTTTTGCCCCATAGGTGTCCCTGGCTACTGCGATCACTCGTACTAAACTACTTTTAGCGCTTAGTTAGCGCACTTTAAAAATTTTCGTTTATTGACAATAGTCTGATTCCATCCATTTGCAATACCGACTCCCTTTGGGTGCCAAGGAATATGTGAACCAAGATACCTCAATTTTTACTCAAGTTATCGCTTGCACGGACAGACGGACGGACGGACAGTCACTCGGAATTCCACTTGTTTCGTCATTCTTAACATTTATATATATATAACTCGATATCTCTCTCGAATAGTTTTAGATGATACAAACAACCGTTAGGTGAATAAAACATATGTCAGCTAATACTGTTATGTTATTAGCTACATACCATAAGCCATATAGCACTCTAAAAAGTTTTCAATATGAGCCCGACATTCGTTTGCCGTAGTTAAATCGATTGATATACGTGATATTGATCTCTACACTTTATTATCGGGAACTTCGAGGAGCAATAACGAAACTAAAGTACAACAAAGCTGCGAATAGATAGACCGCTTTAGCATCAGATAAACCGTTATCGCAAAATGCTTCACAATTTCGTTCATCTGTTTACTTAAGCTGACTAAGAACCTAAGAAATCGAGCTCTTCGTTAACGATTTATATTCATATTTTAGGTCTCTTAACATGTCCTAATATGTGTTGCAGAACCGTGGACTTTAATAATATTTCATAAAATGGCACTTAGAATGTTTGAGAAAAAAAACTTTAAGAGGTTATGGAAAAAAAATGATCATTATAGTGAAATTATCATTCGAGTGAATACTCCTGAGCTACAATATTTAATGCGGTATCAACTGAGAAAGAGAAAGGAGGAGTTGAAAAAATAATAATAAGAGAAGGTTTTTTTACAAAGGAACGACGCACTAATTTAACATTGGAGTTCAAATTTTATATACTAAAAATCTGTGTACTCGCATAGAAATGTTACTTTATTCTCTTTGAGTTTACTACTACTACAATGCGAATTATTGGATATACTAATTTTCTCGATGACTTCAAGTTTACCATATACAAGTATATAATCTTCCTTACCATTTTTAGTAAGTATTTCTTCTTAAGTTGGAGCATGGAGACTAATATTTTTATGTATAAAAAATTCTCTCTTGAATGTTTTTAGCAGACATTGCCCAGTCTCCACTTCGTATTTATAAGGTGATGCAATAGGATGAACCAACTCGCCACTCCATATATATAGTATTATATTATTAACATTCATAAGCATCATAAAAGGTTGTGAAATATTTGTGGTTGAAATTCTAATTCTATCTAACTTTATTAAATATTTTGTAGATAAGATTTCAAGACAACCGTTACTATAATCGCACAAATGCAAAACTTTTGCTTTTACTTTTTGCTAATCATTTAAAAAATAAACTTTAAGGTAACTTGAAGTCGGTTCAAGAAGTTCCACACAGATAAGAACACAAGTACGTACACGTAGCGGTAAATGTCGAGAGATCGCAGTTATAAAATTTTAGCTGACAGAAAAAATGCGTATTTCTCATATGCAAAACTAAATCCGACACCGGCATCGTTTGCAACAATGCATACGCCCCACACACACACACACACGGGCGCAGTAATCTTGATAAACAAACAAGCAAATAACGGTAAAAAGCATAGAATCTAATTCGCTCATGAGGGGAATAGCGACCGCCGCAAACACACCGCACCGCCCAGAGCGCACCTGCAGCTGACATGACGTGTGTTGGCATTCAGTCGCAAATGTATGCGTGAGCGTATGTGTATTGGTGACGACGTGTGAGTGCGTAAAAGCTGTGAAGAACTTTTGCAAACAATAATGACATTCACTTGGCTTATCACTGCCACTCGGTTGATCTTTAACAAATCCACACTTCAAACACGCTCAACACTTCCACCGGCAGTTAGCTCACTCATTCACCCGCACAAACACACTCACACACTGCCTGAGTCAGTCAGGTGCTGCCGCCTGTTTTGTGCTTTCATATTATTTGAACGTTTTTGGTTTGGTTTTAGATTGAGTTTCAACGGCAAGTTGCGCTCCTTTGTTTTTTCACAGTAATTCTAACCTGAAGTTGTGGTTTTGTGGCGCAAAAAATATTCGCCCAACAAAAGCGCACAAAAAAGCGCAAAACTAAAGTTGCACTTCGCTTGCATGGTTGCCTTGCGTGTGTTTGCATTTAAGTGTGTATGTGTATGTGTTTGTTTGCATATTTCAAATAGTTAAATTACGAAAAACACGAAGGGTATAAACGCCCGACAACATTTCACAAGCCCAGCGGCAGAAGCAAAAAGCAATGCACACAAGCAACGACCAGCACTCACATATATATATATAATATATATGGATAACTGTACACACACGCTTAAGCATAAATGTTTGAGTAAATGCGATTATGCAAACTAAAACACACCCACAACATATGCACACACTCATATACATACTCGTATATATTCATATACAAGCATAGGTATGGAGCTTTAACAATGCGTCGTTGTGTGTTTGCGGTAAAACGTTACCCTTACCCCTTCTAACACTAGACGGAAACAAAAGAAAAGTTTTCCGAATAATTTTGCGGTTGCGAATGCAATTTTCAATGCCGCATCGTGCCGAGCTCCACAGCGACAGCCGAGGTGTGGGTGCCGGCGTGGCGTATGAGTAACCTCCGTTTAGGTTTCGTTTGTTAAATGAATCTGTGAACATTTGCAACAAAGTCGTTGCAGGCCAATGCTAAAGGCGTAATTATACTTAATTTGATGAAAATTATTCTAACGGGAAACTTTAAATTTTATTAGCAAAATTTGGGCTGTACTTTATTTTCATAGACTAGATTGAAATTTTTTGCTATTAAAATCTAGTACATTACATACAAAATTTCAAACTCAAGTAAAGCAAAAAAACGAGAGGCTTTCTCAGGGTCAAAATGTGTTCCCGAATTTTATTTTTATCGAGTGAGCGATCCCAAAATTCACATAAACTTAATGGAATTTATTGAAAAATAATCAAACTATAACCAATTTCGTACCAAATCACATCATCTACTTGTATAGTGAAATTTTGTTTTTGGCACATTTCGATAGTACCTACACTTTTAAAAATACCATACTAAAATATTAAATGATTATTTCAAATATTTTTTTAGTTACAGCCTTCTAAACTGTAGTTACTCAGTCAGCTCTATCAGTTTACCTATCTGAAACACGTTTACTTTTTTCTCAAAAACACTTCAAATTTGTTTGAGTGATTATTTGGAAACAACTAATTCGATCACTACTAAATTACAGTGAAAAATTCAACCTTTTCAAAAAACGCCGCCATTTTGACCTTTATTTATTTTTTCGACCGAAGGTCATTGTACGTACAATATCTTCATGAGAGCAGTATTCTTTTAGGTTTCATACACAAAGATGGCTGAAATCACTGCAACAGTGGAGGACCTTTTTACTTAGCGCCGCCAAAGATCGCATGTAACTCGAAAAATATTTAATTTTTTTTCGGAAATATGTTCCTTAGTTTTTTTGGTGGCCACTCCACAAAATCCGCAAGAATTTGGCAGAACAGATTCGCTTTACTATCAATGACTAGTGATTATTGATGTTATTGAAAATAATCTCAGTTTAATATGAGAGCATACAAATTTTCGAAAAACAGAACTTGACATTTTCCAATCAGGGTTGTTCAAATAAATACCAAATAACTATATATTTTACATATTGCCCCTGATTATTTCTTGCGCAAAAATTTGCTCAACCAGCCGCTCAACTTGACCCTAAATGTAGGCAACGTTTTTCAGTATATTAGAATAGCAAGAAAATGATAATTAGTGAATCGAAATATTATAAAGTATTTCGAAATACAAGGTCGAGTATACAAGCTGCGTTAGCAATTTTAAATATTTCTAATAATCCATCAAGGGCTCTCATAAGCCTCTTTAATTTAGGTATTCAATAGTTTTCAATAACAAACCTAAACAGAAAGAAAAATGATAAAATGTTAAAATTTCCAAGAAACGAAACTAATTCTTCAGCTTACAAGCCAAATGAACTGCTTGATGATTCATTGCGCATAATAATTTTCGTGAAAGAAGCAAAATTTATTTTCAACTTTTGCCGCTTGGAAAATATTTGAGACTCTCCTCACAAATACACACGTAGTAAAGGCGGAAAATGCAGTGTGTTGCACTTAAGTAAATGTGTATTTGTGTGTGGAGAATTTTATAAATATGCCTGTTAGCGGACAAGCTGACAGCAGAGTCTTTTCGGTCTGTTTGCCTCCTCAACCTCACGTACCTCCTCGAGCCACATGCAAGCC